CACATCCGTAATCTTTTTTTCCATCTCATAAATATGGGCTACGTAAGGGAATCTCGGCCTTGTAATCGAAGAACACTGGAGGCACAAATGTTTCCTGCCCCTGGTTTGCAAGTATATTCCTGCATAATTCTCCTATATATGACCTGCTTGTAGTCATTAGATGTATTTATAGTTAAGTGTGTATAATCATATAAATAACTATAATAAGATAGTAAAGCTGTTATGCCATAAATAACTATAGTAATACATAACAAAAAACTATAATAACATAAATAAAATATAATAACTAGTTACAGGTATATAATAAATTACATGAATAACTAGCAGATTGAAATATGGTGAGCTCAGTTTCTGTTAAAACTAAATTATCCACTGCAATCCTATCATTACTTAAATCAGGTTGCTGCACAATTTGTGTTGCAACAAATTTCAATTCCTTCGGCGCTGGGAATGAAGCAGCTGAAAAGGCCTTGGGGGAAAAGAATAAAAACAGCAGGCAAAGGCTGAAAGCTAATCCTAAAATATACAGGTTCAGAAATGATACCACACTTTGAGATCAGGCAAATAACCATTGCTAGTTTCTTTTCTTGTCGTGGCTGGGATGTCTTGTGTGGGTTATTCTGAGAAGTTAACAAGGGCTGATTGGGAAGAAATTGCTCAACAATCAGGTTAGTGGGCAGAATAATAGAAGTTTTGCTGAAATTGCTATTGGCAACCATCAGATGTCGAAACCTGAAATGTCATCATGATCCCCCTCTGGCTACTAGCAGCCACGCGCTAACAAAGGTTGCCAATCTTCCTTCTTGGCAGTTTAGAAAGCCAGTGAAGAACGAAACACAAAAGTCAAGAGTCCATTCTTCAAACACCTAAAGATGTGATTTCAACAGTAGCATTTGACTTCTGTAGCTAACAAACAAGGGATGATGAACAGCTGAGGAAGTAAAGATCTTTTCTAATTGTAGTCTCAGTTATCAGACCCCTTACCCTCCCTCTTGTTCAGGCACAGGAATTTCCAGGAACCAAAATGTGAGCAAATGATGGTACAACGTACTTCTGTGAATGACTAAGAAAACAGAAACCATGTACAAACGTTTCCCTTCCTAGCAGTTCTAAATAAAACACCAGTGTCCAAATAAGAACTCTATATTTTTTTAGGATGCAATATTCCAAAGTGCCAATATTTATAGAAAAACATTTTCCCATCAATGTTATTATTCAACTATATGCCCTGCATTCTCTAATTTTAACAACTCTGAAATATGTTGGTTAAGAGCATGTGACTTGGCTTCAGATCGCTTAGGGAGATGTGTAGATGTTGAATAGTGACAGAAAACCCAAACCATTTTATCATCATAAGTTGTTGTGTTGCTATTCTCATTTTTGTTTCGTCTTCCATGATTTTAATCACATTCTCCCTAAATGTAAATATACAGAAATAAGACATTTCATCAGATGGCATAATTGTTGCTGTGAAAACAGCCAATGTTAAGTGTAGAAGCTATGCCACCTACTGGCTGTAAACGAAATGTACTGTTACTAAAAGTAAGGTCAGAAATATACAGTAGCCCCATCAAGTGGCAGATTTGCACTTATGTTAGACTGCAACAGCATATATTATTAGTTATTAGTTCTCAGATTTCATGCAACAGATTAAAAAAAGGGACAAAATTTGAGAATATTTACTATTTAGTTCTCATGATATGCATGCCTCTCTATGTATTTCACTCAGAGTAAATAACCTCACAGAACTGCAACATAGAGTTTGGAAAAGAAACAGTGATTACCCTAAATTGAACTGGAGAAGAGATACCAATGACTTCAACATTTATTAAAACTATTGATAGCCTATTAATTGGACAATAGATATAGTAGATTACAATTCCTCCTTAACATAAAGAAATTTGTTGTGGCATGAAGTTGCTATTACTCAGTTATACAATGTGTGACTGGCCTGTAGATAAAATTCAGGTTCCATTCACAGGATCTCAAGTTAAAAGACTGCACTTATATTGAAAGTATCTCTCAAGAATAATGTTAACCAGCATTTAAATATTCTTCAGAATCCTTGTTTCAAAGTACATCATAGTACAAATCTAAAAATAAAAAGTAAGAAACAAAAAAGAGATGACAATAAAGCTCTAAGGATGTTGGAAAAATTCAACAGCATGCAGTCTGTTGTCACTTTAAGATGCAATGTTACTATATGTTGTATGAAGTATCCACACAGAGTATTTGTGTAATCTGAAGGAAGAGAAGTACTGCTGTTATGCTACAGGTGTTAAGCAAGAACAGAGTCAGTTTTGCTCAATTTCATTGGACCTATTTTTTTCAAATAAGTGTATGTCAGGTCACACTTTAATCACTGAGCCTGAGTGGCTCAGCAGACTAATGCTACTGTTAAAGGTAGTATTTAGCTTCCAGCTGCCTGCAATTACTGCGAGTTCAATTCTCACCAGGCTCAAGGTTGACTCAGCCTACCATCCTTTCTAAGGTAGGTAAAATGAGGACCTGGTTTGTGGGGGCAATAAGCTGACTTTGTATAAAATATGCAAAAGTATGAAGGCTATTGCTTAACGCCTTGTAAGCCGCCCTGAGTCTCTGGAGAAGGGTGGCATTTAAATAAAAAATAAAATAAAATAAATACTCAAATCAAGATATTTCACAATATATAGAAAAATGGCAGTAAAAGTCTAACCGAGAGAAATCAGATACACTTGCCAGGGATTGTTTCACCTCTCACATTGCTCCAAAGAAACTCTATAGTATTATACCATTGAAATAATTCAAAGGAAAATTCTAAACTCCATACCTAGGCAAGTGAAGACAATATTCACATAAGAGGCAACTGACTCCCTGCTTAAATCCTCACCAGCTCAAGGGCTGCCAATAGATGGCTTAAAGTTTACTGTGACATTTACTCATTTATTCCATTCCAAACAGCAAACCTAAGATAACCATATGTTCTGATGGGCAGGTCACAGAGAAGTCTTAATTCACTGGTATATATTTTTGAATGATACAATATAGGTTGTAGGATAAGTCACACTCAGGGGTGGGCTGCTGCGGGTTCGCAGGGGTTCGGGAGAACCTCTAGCTAAGATTCTGTGCAGTTCAGAGAATCCCCAAATCCCACTCCTGGTTGGCCCTGCCCACCCCACCCTGGCCCTCCCAGGAGTCCCCATACGGCCCATTTTAGATGCAGGTAAGTGCAGGGCGCACGCGGAGGCTTGGGGAGGGCGAAAAACGGGCCTACTAGAAGTTTGGGAAGACCAGAAATGGCCCCATTTCTGGCCTCCAGAGGGCCCCTAGAGCCTGGGGAGTTTGTTTTCGCCCTCCTGGAGGCTAAAGGAATGCCTCTGGAGCCTGGGGAGGGCAAAAATGTCTCTCCCCCCACCCAACACCTAGCAGCAGACTCTTCGTCATGAATATGAACAAGCTGCTGGTCACCCAGTGTTAGTCCAATAATGCGAAGAGCTCGTTCATTGTCTCTGTTAAACTTGGCTATTTTCTTCGCATCTTCTCCATCAGCAGGATCCCATGCTGTTACATCCGGTGGATTATTAACTATGTCCCACAGTCCTTCTCTACGCAGAAGTAGAGTACATTTTGCAGACCAGGATACATAGTTTGTTCCATCCAGACGGGTTATCATGGAAAAATTTGCTGCTTGTTCTAGTGCCATCTTCACTTGGATTGTTTATCACAAACACAGTTTGTTCTATTCACATTAACTCTCAGTTTAGCTTTTAACAATCCTAGTTAGTTCTGGTTGGCTCTGGGCCCATAACCAATGTTAAGGATATTGTTGTTGTGTTACCAACCAGCAGAGTAAATGCACAAAGAAATGTTGCTGAGAGCAATGAATAAGAGTTATGCAAACTGGTTTATCAAAAGCTTACTTTATAGTAGAAAAACAGTCTCATAGTCTTTAAACAAATTCCAAGTCTTTGCCAGTTAAATCAGTCCAGTAGTTACAGAATCTTCTTACCCAACAAACATTAGTTGGTTAGAATAACAAACTCACTCTGGTTCACAAACCATGATGGTTGCAGATCCATCAAACGATAGCATATCATACTCTGGTAGCATATCATATCAACTTCATCATCAACAGCAGCATATTATAGCAGCAACTGAACACGTTACAATACCTTGCTTAAATACTCTCACAACCAGTCATTACCTAATTACAGCATGACTCAGCATTAAAGTCACATAATACATTTACAGATTAAAGTTACAGTACACATATATTGCCTGGACAACATAGTTAGGCTCAAACCATATCCTAACAGTGCAGGAGGCCGACTAGGCTATGCCCACCATGGCCACACCCACCCAGCAACCGGACAGAGAACCCCTTACTAAAATTTTTGAAGCCCATACCTGGTCACACTTTCAAACATAATCTTACATTTTAGATAGGACATTATAGTATATCTGTAACGGTATGTGAGAATAGCCTTGGGAGACAGGTCATAAAGCTGCAGAATACATAAGGTCAGGCAAGCTGCAGCTGAGTCCACAGAAAGAATGAGGGCATGGTAAACAACCCAGAAGAGATTCTCTCTAGTTTATTGGCCTGTAAAGGCGACGGGGGAAGAGATATACTTTCAGACTTTATAAGATTCTGTTACCATAACTTTACAATAAAGTTAGGGCTATATATACACATTTGTTATAAGGCTATGTATGCATTTAGATTTACACAACTGTGATAATTTTTAAGATTTTCTAGTCAAGGTCTTAGAAATAAAGTAGAAGAGCCACAGCTATAAGGATTAGCCCAATTTGTGAAACATTTATGATTCTGATTATTCTTAAAAATAATTGAGACCAATGAAATATAACCTCAAATTTTATCTTTCATTTCATGAAAGTCAAGTTATTACCATTTTTTAAAAAAAATATGCTTCTTATAAAACAAAATTAAAAGTCCCCAAATCATATTAAAATATTATTATAGAACTATATAATGTAGAGGAAACACAAGGCAACAATGACAGCTATGAAGCAATTTAATTAACTGTTTTCTAACTACAAGCAACAAAATATATGAATTTCTACATTGCCGCTCAGCATAGGACAAATAACAATGCTTCTTTCTATAAATATCACAATATAAAATAGTGCCAGGATATCCACCAGTATTGTTCTATTACTAAATGTCTAATGCAATTTTCATTAAAAGTTACATATATGTACAAAACTGATTTGTTTATTTGTTTTCTATTAAAGATCTGGAAGACAAAATATATAAATTGTATTATGTTTTCATTGTTAAGATTATCAAAATAGTATTTTCTTAAACTAGGAAACAGACCGTCTTCATTAGGCTTCAGACTGGTTTGCAAAGTCTTCTTTCCTATATAACAAAAAAAGTAGTTAATAAATTCTAGTAATGAAACATGCAGTTCGTGATATTTACTATTCTAGATGTAATGTTATCACCACTAACCTTTTTTTAAGAGAAGACATAATAAACCATTAATGCACAGCCTGCAATCCAGCCAATCATGAGAAGAACAGGTACAACATACCTGGAATACGGCAATGGCTCTGGCTCTAAAGAGAAAGAATGAAGATTTTATTTACATGATGGGAAAATATTTTTTAAAAAAATATGATTGACTATAAGCAAAATTTGTAGCTCATTAAGATGAATATTTGGGATGCATTCTTTACTGAATAATGCATATGATATATTCTTTGCAAATGTTACACATAGTAACATTTTAGAAACTGCGGTTTAAATATATTAAATCAGATGTTCAAAATGATATTCTATTTGTGTATTGAGGGCAGATATCATGCCAGAGAACATATCCTCCTAGGTCCTTCTAGATGACATTGCTTAAGTGATAGGACTCAAATACTCTGTCTGATCTCACTGGATACATAGAAACAACTGGACACAAGCGGTCCATCAAATAACTGAGTCATATATAATGAATAGTTTTACAGGTGATAAACTATAAAGTTTATATCTGGTCCCACGAGGTAGACTAGAACAAAAAATCAACACAGGAAGGCTAAAATTAAATTTACGGAGATTGATTATAGTAACAGAAGAAGAAATTGGATTGTTTTATACCCCTTCTTCCTTCTTGCCATTGAGTAAATTAGGGAGGTGTCCATTTGAGCCACTTTTACATGTCATCTGGATGTTCAGGACTTTAAAAATGTTTTACATTATGTAATCTTGCATATCTTTGTCAAGGCCATCCATATAACCAGCACTTTGAAATGCACCTGAGACCAATTAGTAGTCAGTTTAGGTCAGAGAGCAATGGAATCATATTGGCACACTGAGAGATGCTCATCACTTTCTTGGCACCTACATTCTGGATCAATGTCTTGAAGGTCATCTATAAGAAGTATACAAGATCAATGACAGCCTTTAAGGGTAAGACAGATAGAATCAAAACCAGATTAGCTATTTTATTGTAATGCTAGATTGACAGAAATTTGCAAGTCTGAAAGTAGAATTCTTCCCCACCCCGTCTCCTTTAATGCTTGTAAAACTAAGAAGGGAACTCTCCTGAGCATTTTCACTCATTATCTTGCTGTGGGCTGTGCTGTAACCCAGGGGCCCCCAATCCCTGGGCCAGGGCCCACTACCAGGCCATGGCCTATTCACAACCGGGTCACACGAGTGGCAGGCAGGCACACATGTGCATAACTCAACTTGCACAAGCAGTGGGCCTGTGCGTGTGCACACACATGCATACCTCAATTTGTGCATGTTGAACTGAGTGTGCATATGCGTGCCGGCCTGCTACTCACGCACCCCAGTTCCCTCCCCCCCCCAGCCAGGCCACCAAGCTGCAAAGGTTGTGGACCACTACTGTATCTCATCTGACCTGACCATTCCCTTGGCAGTGACATTTTGCCTATTCTCCCAAAGTTTTTTTTCCACATTCCATTACATAATTATAGCTGCATTAAAAGAAGTGGAAAAGAAGAGTGCATTATCCATCATTCAAACATCATTAGTGCTGAAATTGAAACTGAAAATGATAATTTCTCAACATTTTAAAAAATATACGATCAGATGTGTTTGTATAAAATATACGACCAGATATGTTTGTATGATAAGCTCTTTTATTTTTAAGAAACCACAATTGCTTAGGGCAATTCCTTGGCATGGTTTTAAACTAAAGAAGCCATCTGCCCATGACATCCTAATTAAGAATAAAGTAAGCTAGCTCATTTACTACACTTACAGTAATAGATACTTTGTTTGTGTTAATGGTAAAGAGGCACTGAGTCAGTTTTGAATTTATAATCTAGAATGTGCAGACTCTAGGATTTGTGTGTGTGTGTGTGTGTGAAAGAGGGAGGGAGGGAGGGAGGGAGGGAGGGAGGGAGGGAGAGAGAGAGAGAGAGAGAGAGAGAGAAAGAGAGAGAGAGAGACTAGGTCAGTGGATTAATACCAAATACTGTAGCCTGATATAAATTCTGAGTGGGGCATGAGAGAATGCACCATTAAAATGTACTGGATGTGAAATAATGAACCACACACATATTGTAATATGAATCTTGAGTACAATCATTTTGTTTCAGCTGTATAAATCAGGCTAAGACAGAAGACAGACTCTAAAATGGGGGTGTAGCCATTAAAAATTAAATTCATTGTAATTTAATTTAAATGCAAATGTTATCTGTTTCATTTTTCTTATACGTTGCCTTGAATGCTCCCTAGTCAAAAAAGAGTTACACAAATCATACCAATACACACCTAAAGAAATGTAAATCAACTCAAGAGATTCTTGTGTGTGTATATATATATATATATCAGTAGTGGATTTCAAATCCCAGTGCTACCGGTTCACTATCGGTAGCGCTTGGGGGCATACGCTCGCTTTCCGAGTGTGCGGCACTTCTGTGCATGCACAGAGTGTTTTTGATGACATCTGGGGCGGGTGGGCAGAGCCTCCTGCCATCGCCACTACCGGTTCACTCGAACTGGGGAGAACCGGGAGCAACCCACCACTGGTGTGTATATTGATTAGCCTATAGGCTATATTAGTGATGGCTAACCTTTTACGTCACTGCGTACTGGCCTGCTTGCCGGAAATGGCACACGAAACCATCCCACAAGGAATGTGTGGCCCTGCTGGCTTTCACGCATGCGGGAGCGCTGATACCCAGCTTATCTGAGAGGAATGAGGGATACTATTTTCCTATCATCATTTAGATAGGAAAATAGTATCCCCCATTCCTCCCCCAGTTCGAGCGAACCGGTAGCGGCGATGGCAGGAGGCTCTGCCAGTCAGTGGTGCTAGAGGAAAAATGCTCAGTATCCCGATTGCTCCAATGTGGGTTTTCTTAAGGCTCCCCTGTACTATTTAATATCTTCAGGAAGGATGGTCATCCATTGATTTAAGATAAGATGTAAACAATACCTTGACATCAACCAATTGTACATCACTACCATGACTCAAACTTTGCAAGAGGACTTGCTAAGATTTCCTCCCCCTCACTTTCTGTAGTAAGTGAAGTATAGACAAGTATGAGGCCTTCTCAGCAGTAGCCTCCAGTTTATGGAATTCCCTAAGTATGTGTGGTTTCAACGCTACTGGCTTTTTGCAAACATGTTAAATTTGCTTAATTTAATCATGCCTTTGGCTCCAGCTCACTAGGTTCAGCATGATGTTTTTTGTTTTTGAAAAGGAATTTTATTGCATTTGTTGCTTGTTTTAATTGAATCGTTGCTGTTTTATTATTTGCTGCCCAGAATCTGTTGGGAGAAGGTTGACCTAGAAATATCATTAAATAAAGAAACAAGCTTTTAACAGCAATCCTCCTGCACATTTAAGTTCTGTCCTACTGTTACAGTGAATTTATAATCTAATGAAACTCAGGGATGTTTTTAGGAACATTTTTTTAAATTTTATTTTATTTTTTATTTTATTAGATTTTTTATACCGCCCCTCTCCCACTGGACTCAGGGCAGTGAACAGCCAAGAATAAAAACATCACATACAAAATTTAATTAAAAAAAAAGAATTAAACAAATTTTGGCCCAATAAATTTAAAACACCCCAACTAAAATCAATTAACAATTAAAAATATCTAAGGGGTTGGGGGGGTTAAACCAGCCTGGCTTGATGAAATTAAAAAGGTTTAAGGGCACGGCGAAAAGCACGGAGATCTGGGATCCTACATATCTCCAGGGGCAGGTCGTTCCAGAGGACAGGTGCTGCCACAGAGAAGGCCCTCCCCCTGTGGGTCACCAGTCGACATTGTCTGGCCGACGTCACCCTGAGGAGTCCCTCTCTGTGGGAGCGTACTGGCCGGTGGGAGGCTATCGGTGGCAGAAGGCAGTCCCATAAGTACCCAGGCCCTAAGCCATGGAGCGCTTTAAAGGTGGCAACCAACACCTTGAAGCGCACCCAGAAGACCACTGGGAGCCAGTGCAGCTCGTGCAGGAGGGGTGTCACATGGGAGCACCCCATCGTTCCCATAATCCCCGCGCGGCTGCATTCTGTACCAGTTGGAACCTCCGGGTGCTCCTCAAGGGGAGCCCCATGTAGAGAGCATTACAGTAGTCCAGGCGGGAGGTGACGAATGCCTGAGTGACCGTGCGTAAGGAGTCCCAATCCAGAAAGGGACGCAACTGGCGAATCAGGCGGACCTGATAAAAAGCCCCCCTGGCCACAGCCGTCATATGATCTCACATACCCAGGCCGTAGGAAATCTTAGGTTCTCCCATGGAATAAATTGAATTATTGCCATTTATTCTTATTTTTAATATTCTTACTAGATGCACAAAGTAAATTCTTGCAGAAATAAATAATATAATTTGGCTTTAATAATATTTATTTATTTATTTGTTTATTTATTAGTCATATTTCTATGCCGCCCACTCTCCGAGGACTCTGGGCGGCTTACACTAAAGACAGTATACTAAATAGCATATTGCCCCCTAACAATCTGGGTCCTCATTTTACCCACCTTGGAAGAATGGAAGGCTGAGTCAACCTTGAGCTGGTGAGATTTGATCCGCTGATCTGCCAAACTAGCAGTCAGCTGAAGTAGCTGCAGTACTGCACTCTAACCACTGTGCCACCTCGGCTCAGTGATTCATGTATGTCTGGAAGTATGTAGAGTCTCTGAGCTAAGTATACAGAAGCCAGCTAAACTAGACAACCTACCCATCATTATGGCATTCATTTATACAAATACTTTAATATTAGTTAATAGAATAAGAAAGAGCTATAAAAAGAACAAAGCCATCAACATGCTTTTTTAACAAAAAATCAATTTAGTGGAAGTCAGATAATGTCAAAAGGTCAGAGATGTCCTGCAGAGCTTCCCTATATCAGGAGTCAGACAACAGCTGGCTGGGAAAAATGATTCCAGGGGAATTATTACAAGCAAGCAAGCAAGCAAATAGCTGACACAATTTGAGGAAACATGACTGCTGCTTGCCAAAATGAACATCTAGGGAAGCCCTTCCAAAATTAGCCTTTCTTTCTTTCTTTCTTTCTTTCTTTCTTTCTTTCTTTCTTTCTTTCTTTCTTTCTTTCTTTCTTCCATCTTTGTGTCTGAATCAATAT